TTGATATGTGTGCATAACTTATAATTGTATGATTGGTATTGCGATGTGAATACCTTGATTGTTGTGATAATTAGAGATACATGGGAATACAATGAGGAATGTATGTGTATCGTCTAATGAATTGTGAGTGCATATATGTATGCGATTGTTGTATGAATGCATGGGAACATATGTGATATGTGTGCATTGTTGTTGAATATGATGATGTGTGAACTGAATACATTGATAAGTGTTTGATATATGTTGTATGTGCAATCACGATGAAATTCTCGAAGGGGTGAATTATTCGAATGCATGGGATTAAGACGCGGGAACGGTCTTAAGTGCATTTATTGTGATTGGTTGATTGTACATGCATCATTCAGTCAAGAGGCAATGTCCGTTAGTTTCGTGGAAACTAGTGGCTTGTCCCAAACCTAGAAGGGTGGGTTTGAAGCCTAGGGGACGGGCTTGGTTGTTATCGGTCTAGAAGGGTGGACCCGGTTTAAAGTAAAAACCGAAAAATGATAACGAGTTATCGGTCTAGAAGGGTGGACCCGGTTTAGAGTGAAAAACCGAAAAATGATAACGAGTTATCGGTCTAGAAGGGTGGACCCGGTTTAGAGTGAAAACCGAAAAAAAAAGATAACGAGAGTCGGTACCGCATAGCATTGAGTTGCATTGAATATGTTGAGTCACATTGCATAATATTGTTGTTGTACAAATGTGCTTGTGAATGATTGTGAAATTAAGCATGAAGGGATGTGCTTGTGAATGTTCATAATGTTGATATATATGAACGTGATATGATTTATGACTATGAGAATGAAGTGTGGTGAGAAATGTGAATATGTGCTATATGACTACCTATATATATATAATCTCATGCTTTGATTATTATGGTTATATTTCTCACCCTTCTGCTGTTTTATAATGCTCTATGAGGCATTGCAGATTAGGATGCTGGAGTCCTTTCGTGAAGTTAGTCTTCATTCTTTTGAGTCTGCTGCTCTGATATGTAACACCGGGTAGTTAGACTAGTATAGTCATTCTTTTGTGATACATTGTGATGTATCAGCTGATGTGGTTTTGTAATCTAACTGACATGATGTATTAATCTGGATGACTTATGTGCATTTGAATTAATATTTTGAAAAACGATCAAATGATTTTATCTTCCGCTTAAATTGAAAATGTTACATATTTTATGGAGCAAATAGTAGAAGTGGTTTATTGGTGAAATTGTGGCATTCTTCTTTTATACCTTATTATAAAACCTTTTTACTCTGATAATTTGTATGTGCTTAATTGTTTTATATGCATTTATTTGGGGTATAGAAGGGGGTGTTACAAATTGGTCCATCACAGATTCAGTCGAGCAAAGGTAATCGAAGAGCTGGAGGTTCTGTCAGTTTAGTAGCGGTAAACAGAGGATTGTGAGTGGAAGGTTCGGGTTCGACGCGTGGGTGACTGAATCATCCGGGTCATATTTGAAGATCGAGGGTTGTTCAAAGAGAGTGTCGTAATAAGAGGTTTACTCACCGCGTTCGAAGGACTTGATTCAACTAGAATCAAGGGGCAAGTAGAAATAGGCTCTACAACAACAAATTGTGTTCGATTGTTTGATCTTTATTTGGTTCTTGTATAAACATTGACCAACAGGTTATATCTATCTATATACAGGTCTCAATTATATTGTTAGAATTGAGGACAGACGTACCCCGAGCGAGGACGACGGGGGAACTGCCCCAACAAATCGTTTTGTCTTTTTATTTACGTTTATATTGCTGAATTTCTGAGTTTTTAGTGCAAACAATTGTGTCAATCAAATTCAGATTTGAGTTATGCTAAACTATTTTTAAGCTAATTACGATCATTGATTGTAATAGAAAACTTTAGCACTCAACTCTCAAAACAAAATTCACTTGTAGTGTTCTGCACTCCAAGTGTTTGATAAATTATGTGAACTAAAAACTTTGTGTGCTATCTTTTCAAATTGTATATATTTTAAAGGCATTGGAACTAGTCACACCTTATAGCGAACAAAATTTGATTGAAGTGTGATTAAAATGGTGATTCTCAAATCTCGTTTATCAAATTCCATAGGCTTTACACATATCCGGTTTTCTAGTAACCGTTCGTTTTAGACGTGTATAGTTCCTCGGTCACTTCCGCCTTAAACATTTTTAAAAAACCAATTTTTGGTAGCGCCGACTCTGTTTTAAACAAGCGATCTATTCAATCCCCCTTCTAGATCTGCGCCATCGTCTAACAAAATATATGTGTGTCATGAACTTGTCGAATATCCTATTCCTTTCCTTTTTCTTCATACCCTTTAGGTTTCCTCATCAGGATTGTTTCATCTAGATCACCATACAAAAAGGAGATTTTCACATCCATCTGTTCAAGTTTTAGGTTTATGCTTTACAACAGGTGAGAACACATCATTGAAGTTGATTTCTTCTTTTCAAGTGAACACCTTAGCAACCAAACTTGCATTAAATTACTTCGACATTACTCC